GCTTCCCTGGCAAGTGCCTGAGCTCAATCCCTAGCTCCGCCAAAAGAACCGGGGATTGAACTCAGGACCTTGCGCTTGCCAGGGAAGGGCTTATTCCACTGAGCCATCTCCTCGGCCCCTTCTTGCTATATTAACAGCGGTAGGTCTACCTAAGTGATGTCTTTCTCATCATCTTAACCATCAGTTTATAAATCTTGGCCTCTGCCTATACAGTGAGTGTGGTAATCATCTGAGGTGGTTGGTTAGCAACATTAAAAACTAAGGTTGGGCTGGTCAAATAGCTCAGTGGATTAACGTGCCTGCTTAGGCAGACACAGGGGCCGTGAGTTCGATCCCCTTGCCGACCCTGCTGAGACAACGATTGAGACTGGGCTGGGCTTTAGACTGGGCTCTGCATGGTGGTTTGTAATCCCAGCACTTAGGAGGCTGTAAACAGTAGGATCACTGTGAGTCAGATCTACGCAGTGAGACGCTGTACAACCTGTACACCCTGTCCTAAAATACAAAAAACAAAAAAACAAAAAAAAAAACCCAAAACCAAAAAACCCACTAAGGTTGACATCCATGGAGTGCATTTCTTTCCTTTCTGTCATGTCTAAACAAGACTGGATCTACAAGGAAAAAGAAGCCAAAATCTTCTACTTTCATATTCACTCTAATACTTGACATACAAATCAAATGGTTAAACGTGTGTATGCTCGATTTAATTATTTAAAAATTCAGACAGGAAAGCCAGGAAACTCAGGCTTTCTACCCAAAACAACCTGGGTTAAGTATGTGTCAGAGTGGTCAGGGCTGTGTCCAACTACGGGGTTGGAGGAGTAACATGGGGAGGGGACCCAGGACAGGACATATGCGGGGATGGGGCGGCGGCTCCTCTCGCGCTTGCGGGTGTGACAGTACAGCAAGGTGCTGGGACATCTCCTTGGCCGCTGTACCTCGGTGCTTCCCAGCCTCATCCCAGGCGCACGATGCCCCAGGGAAGTTCCTTGGACTCACTGCCCTAGGGCCCTCGGAAAGTTTCCGTGACCGCCTGACCTCGCCTTTGAGGGGCCGTTGCTGTAGGCAGGGGGAACACAGGGTGGTGGAACTGGGGCGCGCTCAGCGGGGGCGCGCGCAGCAGGGCGCTCGGGACTGGTCTGGCAGGGCCGGGAGGCCGTGCACAAAAGGACCCCGGGTCTCGAAGGCGTGGCGCCGCCGAGGGGCGGGTGGGGCAAAGGAGGTTTCCATTCCCTGCTCCCGAACCCGGCCTGCACGTTGACTCCGGGCCCAGGACGCTGTCCCTACTTCTGCCGGATGTCAACCCAGGTCCCCGCACTCAAGACCCTGTCCAGACCCGGGAGCCGACGCCGGTTTCCCATCCCCAAATCCAGCCTCAAGACCGGACCCCGCCCACCAGCTTAAGCTCACCTGGAGCGCAGCGTGGGAGGCACCGCAGCGCGGCCCCAGCCCTCAGGAGGTCGTCCCTGAGTCCCTCGGAGCCCGGGTAGCGGCGTCCCCAAGGCACCGCGCGGGTCGTGGGCCACGGAGCCGCAACTTGAGCCAGTGCGGGGGCGGACCCCTCCCTCCCGAGCTCAGCGCACAGCAAGCCTACCAGCCTTCCCAGCCTCTCGTGTGGCCCGTGCGCAAAGCCGGCCTGGCCCGCGACGCGGCCCTCTGCCCCGCCCCACTCAACCGCGAATTTTTCCATTGGTCGAGAGACCAGGCGCGGCTCAGCAACCGGTGCCGATTGGACAGTTGTGCAGAGACTATGGTCTGCTATTGGGGACACAAAATGTCAGTCCTGGCCGACGACCGGCCCCTTAGCCGAGGGGCAGAGGCCCAAGCACCTGCCAGGAACGCTGCGGAGGCTACCGGGACTCTGGGATGCAGCTTGCCGGCCTCTTTTCGAGATTGTAGCCAGACCGTTGGGCCCCGAACAGGGACCGGCATGGCCGCCGACCTTTCCCCGGACTTCAGCTGCGTAGTCTCCATAATCATTCTCATTTTGCAGGTATCCTCCAGCGCCTGCAGTTCTCCGGACGCTGAGCCCCGATCCTTATATCTGTATCTGATAATTGTATTCACACAAGCCACAAGGGAGAGTTCAGTTGTGACCCATTTTACAGATGGTAAATTGAGGCTTAGAGATGTTCGCATTTGCTTTATGTGGTCCAGACTTAAACCCAGTCTTCTGACTCTGGAGTCTTGGGGACTCCCACTCTCAAGGCCGGAGGGTCCCTGCAGCAGGGACAGGGTTGCATTCTTGGCTTAGTGAGGCCCTGTTGGAGTAGGGGCTACAGTGTTTTTGAGAGCAAGAACGGAATCTTTGGTAAAGCTAGGCTTCTCCCACAAGGCCTGGGTCTACAGCCCCCTTAGGATCCTGCCAGGCATCCATGGTGTTGTCCTTTCTCATATCTTGGTGGCATCCAAAGAACCCTCAGCTGAGGGGAGTTGTGTTTATCTTTCCCCACTGACACTATGTTCTTTCCTAGAGTTGTGCAGGATCATTGTAGTGCTTTGCCACATTCTATGTCATTCGCACAGGTCACATTTCCCAGCCAGCTAGAGCCCCAGGCTCACTCTGAGGTGATATGGGACTGTCGAATGGAACCATAACCTTTGGCCAGCTCCACTGAGCCTTATAGTGTAACGGGGAGCAGCAAGGTTGCCATCTAGTTGGGCTCCTTCATGAGCAGAGGTCAGGTTCATGTTTGGTTCTGAGCCTTTCCTGCCCTGGGCACACTTAGAGAGGCGAGCAGTTCATGGGCTTCTTTCATTCTCCAAAGCCAGAAGGGGGCCCAGCCTGCCCCCGACAATGCTAATGGGGTGGGGTGCCCCTAGGAATGAACAGACCAAATATTCATGGCTCACCCACCCTGTAGAGAGTACAGTATATTCATGTATTCACCCTATTGTTGTCTGGTCAGAATAAAGAAAATAAGATAGACTGGCAAGAACTCATTGCCAGGGGCCAGGGAGATGGCGCAGTGGAATAAGTGCTTCCCTGGCAAGTGCAAGGGCCTGAGTTCGATCCCTGGTTCTGCAAAAAAAAAAAAAAAAAAAAAAAAAAAAAAAAAAAGAACTCATTGCTAGTACCAGTACTGGGTCCACCTGTATCATAGCAGTCAGGGCAAATCAGTCTCCACAGCATTTCAGAGCCAGGCAGCCACTACCAATCCTGTGGAGTTGGCACTTAAAGTGAAAGCTATTTGCCATCTTAGCATAGGGATGTTTGCAGCTCTGGGAGGGCAGCATTAAGGACCTCTTCCTAGAACACAGGAGTCCCCACAAACAAGGTGGCTCTTGTTCTGTAGAATAGCACTGTATGTGAGTCTGGCTCAGATGCTGTTTGGTGGGGGGTTTCTTTCATTTAGGACCAAAATTTAATAAATTCTGACTGTTCTAGCATCTCTCCCAGGGCATAAAACTTTGGTCCTCTTGGAGCCCTTCTTATCATAGTCTGGCAGTATCCCTCCTCCCAATCTTTGCTTATGATGGCAAGAGGGGTTAGACAGATCCGCTGAAAGAGGACAAAAGGTAAACTTATATACCAAAATTGGGGACAGGGAGATAGATCAGCAGCATAAGCACCTGCCTGGCAAGCGCAAGGCCCTAGGTTTGATCCCCAGGACCAAAAAATAAAATAAAATAAGCCCAATGAGGATTGCCTTCTCTCTTACCCTTGCCCCTACACCTTGCCCCGTAGAGTTCTACAGATCTTTCTGCCTAGGAATTGGACTAGTCTTTACAGCTTCATAGAGGATCAGGATGGGTGGAGCTAACTTTAAAAAAGTCAGGGTAAATACCCAGTTTTCCCACCAGGATGCAAGTAGGGGTCAGAAACAGAAATTGAAGATATCATAGGTACCAGTGGTTCAGTGTCTTCCTTCTCACTTAGCCTACATGCTGGTCAGTTCTGTAGGGACTAAGGAAAGTCAAAGGGAGAAAAAGGTGACCGAATGTCAGGAAGAACTTCCCAACTGCTGCAGGTGTTTAGGGAATCCAAAAAGGTGGCCCTGAGAGATGGTAAGCTCTTTATCTGAGGAAATGTGATGGCAATAATCCCCTTATAGCCTGAGATACCTGGGCTTAGGTGACCATGTTAAGTCCATGTCATCTGCTGATATACACACCCTGGCACCATATATTGTGCCATGATAAGTCAATAAGTCCGTGATGGGAGACAATGTCCCAGGTCTGTTTTCTGTGTGTAACAGAATAGGATTTGACTCACCATCTAGTATGTTTTTGCATCCCTCTTTGTGGGTGATGGGAAGGCTTGGAAAACCCATGTGCTGCTCTGAGGTGCGTGGCTGGTGGTTTAAGGGGAGATTACTCTTCATCTGCTGCCTTATTCCTCAGGACATAGTGACTCATCCCCTGGGTGAAGGACTTGCTTGTCCAACAGCACAACCTCTTGGCTGTATGGACCGCATGGTCTGGCTGCTCAAAAGTAGCTAGCACCAGCCCAGCATGTTTGTGTGTGGGCTGCAGGAGAGATAGCACATGTCTGGCTAAGTCTGCCACCTGCTGGTCATAGAGTCCCTGAGTGTCTGCAGTCCTTCCCTGTAAAAGGCTTCTGTTGGATTCCAGGGAAAACACAAATGTGACAACAAAAAAGTTGGGCACAATGGGCCCTGCTGGCAGCTCTGGATTAGACTCTTGCCTTCACACCTCTAAGGCTCCAGTTTTCTGCTGGGAATCAGTCCTTCCAGTCAGGATCAGGGCACCTAGATCTTTAATCCAAGTCCTTGGAGCTAATCTAGCCAGTGTCACTTACCACCTTTTAAAAAAAATTCAACTGAATGGAGTAACTGCTGAGTCTCAATGTTCCTATCTGTAAAATAGGGTAAATGAGAACTGTGGATCATGACACTGGTTTAGAGATCTTAGGAAATTAGCATTAACCTTAATGTACTTGTCATCCTTCTTATAGTGTATTTCAGTTTGGGACAGGCACTTTGAGCCTTTGGCATGCCACCTTTGCAATGCTCAGGCCCTAGCAGCCCAGGGACCAATGGGGTTAGGAAGCCCTAGCTATTCTCCTTTTTCTTTGTTTCTTTTCTTTCTTTCTTTTTTTCTTTTTCCTTTTGAGACAGGGCCATTCTATGCAGTTCAGGCTGGCTTTGAACTCATTTTGTAGCCTAGGGTGGTCTCGAACTCGCAATGATCCTCTTGCTTCAACCTCGCGAGTGCTGCGTTTACAGGCATGCGCCACTTGACGGGCTACATCCCTGTAGCCTTACAGGGAAAGCAGCAGGATGGGTGGTTGACAGGTAGTGTCCGCGAGGGAATATAGGCTCAAGGCCTGTTGCGACCTTCGGAGGATGGCCCCACGGGTTGGGTACCAGTGGAGACCAAGAAGGCTGCTGGGGTCACGAGACGTCCAGACGCCAGTGCAGCTCAGACTTGGCGCAGCCCCGGGGGCGGGGAGCCAGGAGGGCTGCAGCCCCAGAGCGACAGCGCGCCCAGCCTACAGACTCCTGGATCGCTGTGCGAGGCCTCGCCCCTCCTCTCCCAGCCCAATGGCGAGCGCATTGGAGGCGGGCAAGGCGGGGCGTGGGCTGGCGGCTGCGGTGAGCGGGCGCGGCACCCGGAAGTCGGCTGCGGCGGAGGCGGTGAGTGTGCGACCAGCTCCCCGGGCTGTCGGACTTCGCTCTTGGCGCGGCCAGCCCGGGCTTCGGGGCGCCGGGCTCCGGAAACGCACGCGGGGCCGGGTTGCTCTCGGGCGGGCTGGGCCAGATCTCATCTCTTCGCCCTGCCTCAGTTTTTTCTTTCCAAGGCATAGAATGAAAACCAGACGGCCTGTCTTGGAACCAGGCCAGTTCACAGAGACCAGACAGACCCTAGGCGACGAAAGCTCCCTGGCGGTGCTCGAAAGCGTTTCCTGTGATTAGTGCTCGGACTGGTGGGGAAGGTTCAGACCTGCTGCAGGGAGACTAAGACAGGTGGGGAAGAGACATGCTTAACTGTTGCAAGGTTGTAGACTGTAGCCAGCATGAGGGAGCCCTTTCCGCTTCTCTGGAGCCCGGTGGCTGGCTGTGGAGATGCGGGGTGACAGCTGACGTAGGTCTAAATAGGCAGCAAGTGCTGGGTAATCGCTGTGACTGGATATGGCTTCCAGTAGCAGCCTGAATAGTCAGAGACCCCCATCCCTACCCAGACAGCATGTAGGCTGTGGGATAGGCAGGGCGGCACTCGGGAGCCAGATATGGCATATCTCCTGGGCCCTTTTAAGAGCTTGGGCTTGTCATGTTTTCCTCTTCAGCAGGGGCACAGTAGGGATCTTTTGCTAAAACCCTCTTCTCTGTCCCCAGCACTTCTATGCTTCCTGGCTTCTGGCTGGACTGCAGCTTTGGAATGAACCCTCTGCCCTTGGACAAGTCCCTGAGCCTTAAGCCTCTTCTAGTGGAGTATCACTTGCTTGGCAAGATCCAGGCCTGTCAATCCACTCTAGACCTACTGACTGCTGCCTTGTCACCATTTTGGGCTCAGAGCCGCCCTCCATGAGACAGATGTAATAACATTTATAAAGGGCAGCTGGATGGCCTTTTAGAAGACGTCCTCACACTTGTTTACTGACCCCTGTGCCTCATTTTGGGAGCAAGTACTCACTGGTCCAACTCTGTTCTTATAAAGAAAACTCAGGTTAAGGAGCCAGGTAATGTTCCGAAGATTTTTCAGGGACAAGGCTAAATCACTCCTGCTTCTGCTTCTCTGGTTCCTTTCCCCAGAGCCTTCTGCTTCAGATGACCTGTTGAGTGGGGTGGAGACAGCTGGGGAAGGTGACTGTTGGTGGGTAGACACAGCAGAGTTCTGCCCCTTCTCTAGGATCCTATCGCCCTGTGTGTGAGGGACCGTGTGTGTGGGGGGGTGGGGGGGGTAGATGGATTGCCTAGGGCTCAAGTCTGTACAGCATGGGGCTCTACATTTTCATGTCATGTATGCTTGGACTGCAGGCACCTCCACTCAGGCCCCTTTCTGCTCTAATGTGTAGTGACAGTCACCCTTCCCTGATCAACCATCTGCTCTGCCTGGGCTGCCTAGTCCTTGTGCTTGATGTCTTCATTTGTATGTCATTCTGATCATATTTCATGATGAATGTAGTCATTTGCAGTGTCATAGTTCCCATGCCTGTCATCTTGTGCCAGATGGTGAGCTTTGCAGGAACCCTGATGTCTTCCTGGGGGACTGCTTCTGAGAAAGTCCGTGGGGATAGTGGGTCTGGAAAGAAACAGTACAAAACAGAGAGGCCTGGAGGACTTCTAGAAGCAGAACCACCCTTATCATTGACACCTCAGATGGGTGAGAAAGGGGGCCCAGCCTTTTTTTTTTTTCAATACCAAGGATTGAACTCAGGCCCCTGTGCTTACCAGGCAAGTGCTTATTCTACTGAGCTATCTCCCCGGGCTGGCCTGGCCTTTGGTAACATGTCAGTCACTGCATGGTGGCAGCATGACAGAGTCTAGCATTTGTTAGTGTGGACTTCTGCGTTTGGCAGTAGGCTCCATGAAACCAAAGATACCCCCAAATAATTGAGCTGCCCTTTGAGGTTACCAAAGCAGCCACCCCCATTTTCTCTCGGTTACCTTTTCAGATTGCAAAATTAACATTTGCATCCTTAAAAATGAAAAGGGCTGGCCGCCAACTTCCATCAACTGTTCCCCTGATACAGCTGCTGATATTTGAGGGTTCCTTGTCAAGGTCTTTAGTAACTGCTAAGTGCTTGCTTTCATCCTCTTTGGAGGGTGATTAGGAATGTCCAGTTTTGTTTTTATATACCTTGCAGGCTGTAGGGGCCACCTAGAAGCTGGGCTTATCCCTCTTTAAAGTTGGGTGCTCCTGCCAGGAGCAGCCTGAGATGCATGGTCTGTCCTGTGCCTAGAGGTTTTCAACATCTGTTTGCGCTGCTTCTTTGATCTATAAAGGGACAACGACACCCTGATGTGAGACTGAATTAATGTCCTCAAAACATTGGGGAGATCTGAGAAGAGGAAATCACTGTAGAAAATTTGTCATGGTAAAATACCACATAATAGCTAAAATGAGAAAGCATAGCTTGCTGAGCTTTTGCTGCTGAGATGGGAGGAGTAGTGTGTTCTGGTGGATTGGCTGATCAGAGGATTTCCACAAGCGTCAGGGCTTTCTCAGCCAAAGCCCCGAGAGCAGCAACATTGTGTTCCCTTGTGTGTTTACCTCCTCTGCTGGTAGCCGGTGGGAGCCTACATCATGTCAAGTCATACAACCGTATCTGTCCTGACCTGCAAAAAAGAGCAGCTCCACCCCCAGAGGATGCCACATCTGATAATCATGGACAGTAGGGTGGGTACTTGCCTCCTTAGCCCTGCTGCATTGTTCTTAGGAAGCTTAAAGAACTCTGCCTTGTGTTGTGCCTCTAGAGACAGGCTGGATCGTCTTAAAAACATTTCTTCCACATGTGCAAAGTACTTGGTATAATTAGGTGGGTCAGCAGATTATAAGGCTCATGTAACCTCTGTCTAGAGCTTTCAAATGTGTATCCCTGATAGACCATCTTGGTGAGAGCTATGAATCCCACTTTCCCATGTATCTAAGGGTCCAATGTCTCATAAAAATACCTCTTTGCTGGTGTGGTTGTACAAGCCTGTAACCCCAGAAAGGCTAACTAAAGCAGGAGGATCACCAAGAGTTTGAGGCAAGCCTGGGCTATATAGCGAGTTCAAGGTCAGCCTGAAATGCATAGCAAAGACTTGCCTCACCTCCTTCCCCAACTAAACAAAACAACAATAACAACAAAACCTCATGCCCTTGCGTTTTCCTGCATCTGTCTCATTACTACATTCTGTACTTCTCCTTTCTGCCCACTTGCCCTGTTGACCTTTTCCGGTGGCAAAGGGCAATGCTTTCACATCACCTTGAGATCCTCAGGGTCACCCAGGATGCACAGCTCTCTGCTCAGGTGGCCAGTGTTAGATAGCCATACTATCCACTGCCCTATGCTGAGGTGTTGTGGACTCAGCTGATCTGTTTTTGTCCAGTCTCCTGTGCTCAGGCAACTGTCCTCAGGTGCTCCCTGCCTTCCTGACCTGTACCCTCAATTCTGACCTGTGGCTAAGGGTAAGGGAAATAGGGTAAGGTGAGCACACTTTCTTTTGATTGCAGCATTTGGAAGGAAACACTCACACTTTTCCCTGCCATGAAACACATCTTTTGAGAGTGCAGGTTTTCAATGCTTCATTAATAGATTGCACAAAGGGAGTGCGGCCATGTTGCCAATGCCTGTGGCAGGCATGGAAACCAGCACCAGCACCCACGTGTCTCACATACTCTGGTTCCTGAGACCAGGTGGCTCTGCCCTGCCTTCTCATCCCATGTATAGGTCTTATTTCTGCCCTCTGTGCAAAACACCAAATCGTACACTATCCCTAATGGGACTTCCTAGTATCTTGAGAATCTGAACTTGTTTCTGTGCCCCTGCATGCTGCTCTGGAGCAGGGATACCACCGTGGAGGGACGCAGGTTGACTTCAAGCTTCAGGCTGTGGATTTCCTTACTATGTCACTTTGTGGACTTGGACTATCAAGTGTCTGGAGCAGCTAGAAGGGGTAGGGGATGCCATGAACTAACCAGAGTTTTATTTATTTATTTATTTATTTATTTTTGCCCAGCAGGCATATTTATTAGCATTAAACACAAGACTCTTTCCCCTTCAGAAGACCACAAAGTTCCAAACCAATATAGTGTCCCTCTGCCCCAATTCTTCCTTTTTTGGGA